CCCTATAGTCCGGTGCGCCTTATGTGTGTGTTAAATACAGAAATGGGACACATAACTGAGAGTGCGCCTTTTAGTCCGGTGCGCTTTATGTGTGTGTTAAATACAGAAATGGGACACATAACTGAGAGTGCGCCTTTTAGTGCGGTGCGCCTTATGTGTGTGTTAAATACAGAAATGGGACACATAACTGAGAGTGCGCCTTTTAGTCCGGTGCTCCTTGTGGTCGTGAAAATACGGTATCTAAATGGTAATTGATTGAAGTGTTTCATCGGTTTAAAAGCTAATTTAAGTACATTTTGGTAAAGTATTTGAGATAAAACTTGGTTGAACTGAACTATGCATAACTTCATAATTTCCTCATAATGTTTGACAATTTTCATTTATCTTTTTTCTTCGATGTGTTAATAGTAGCCATTTAGTTTAGCTTAGTTAGGAGTTTTAACAAAAATATGCTTAACTTGGAGTTAAATTAGAGTTGTTAATACATTTGTATATCTTTTTGGGTCAGCTCTTTGACCATGTTTGCTTTTATCACTTTTTACCTGTTGTGTCCACATTAGTTTGGATGTGTGTTCACAGGAATTCATATGACAGGACGAAAGATATTTAACTAAACATTAGATGAAAAAAATCCATAAGTGGAAAAACAGGTCTGAGGATGCTGAAAACAGAAGTGTAAGCATAGAAAATAATTATTAACTGAAGTCTAGGGAAGAAAATTTCTGGCTCTCTTGCATATAAATATTATTGAAGCGTAGGCTTCCTGCTGCTGTTTTAGACCCCAGAGAAAGGATTTCTGCTCTGTTTTTCTTGAACAAAAGTGCACCAGCAACTTATCTTCCACTTAACTGCACCAACAAATGGAATTCAGTTGACCTTTTTTTTTTATATATAAATTGTAAGTGCAAATGACTCAGAGCTACGATTTTGAAGAGTTTCTACATTTATCATCAGGGGGTTTGTTCCATTTTAAAATCAAGTCTGACTAAGGGAAATGCGAATCTCAGAGTGAACTGCACTGCTCAGAACTCCATTCTTAATCTCAGTCCGTCTGCTAGAAGGACATTTTCACTGCATGGTTGGAGTTATACATCACCAGGTTTTTATACAGATGAATTCAACGATGAAGGCTCTCTTTATTTCTTCAAAAGTTACATGCAAAATCAATCAATCAATCAGCTTTAACAAAAATGCTTAATCCGAATTGTTTTCCCCTGGATGTAATGATAGCTTTATGTCCTGCAATCATTTGTTGAAACTATACATGAAGTAGCTTAATGATAGAAGAGGTAAAATATGCCAAGTTGAACCTCTGAGCTTCTTTTAGCACAGCTACAGGGGCAATATTTCTCTATGAAAAGCAAAGAGTATTTTAGGTGAAAGATGAACTACTGCAACAGCAGCTGAATTTAATAACTATTTCTCTTTCAAATATTTACCGATTTATTTTATTGTACAGGAAAGTCTTGGAAGAGTAAGAATCAGCTTTACGAGCCAAGGTTGTGTAAAAAAAATAAATAAATAAATTTGGGTCCATTTTAACACCAAGTTTGATTTCGTTAGCTATTTGAACTCTTTTAGTAATTTTGATATAACAGGAATTATTTTGTTATTCGCATTCAGGAACTTAAAAGCCATTTCTATGTAATTTAGCTGCAACATTTCTGGAACAAGGTAGTTTTATAAAGTGACTAAAAAGAGATTTACTACCATGCTAATATGGAAAAATACTTGCTAGGTTTCATGAAAGTACGAAGAAAACTTTAGATACATGAAATGAGAAAAGTATCATGCAGGAAAGTGAGTTTTAGGATGAAGCCTGATTGGTTCCTTGACATGGTGCCGTCTGATGTATTTGTCTTTGTATTAAATATATTCAACAGTCTTCCACCTACTCAATTGCAACTCATTTAACTAGGTTACATCAATAATATACACTAAACTATAGAACTATAGGTGTTCTCCTAATTTCTGTATTCCTGATATATATTTTTTATCTATTTCTAAGCACAAACACGGTGGGCATTTTATTTGCCCGTATTTATAGTGGCTTTTATTATTACTAGGATGTTACCGCTTCAAGGTTTTTCTAAACCCACTGCTGTCTGGAGAACAGCTTTATATAAGGTTTTCTATAAGAAAAAAAGATATATAAAAGTATTTGAAGTTGAAATGGATGTTATTATAGATGTGAAAGAATCTAGAGAATCTCAAAGTCCAGATTCAGATATGTATGAATAGTACAGCTTGTTATCTAAAGGGTTTCATAACAGTGATATGCAAGTATAGTGTGCTGCAGAGATCATCTGTTCCCTTAGCATCGTTAACCTTTTTGCTCCAGGAATGTAGCTATTATGTTTCCTACATTGCAAATATGCAGAAAATTGAATTACTGAAGGTGGCGTGGCTTTTTTAGCCTATATGAATGTACATTTTTAATTTCTTTTACCTCACAACTATTTTACTTTGAATGGAGGTCTTCTGCTTGTTTACTTATTTCATATTAAACAAGATTTTCTGATTTTTGTGGAGGGAATCTTTTTTTCTATCTCAAGGTGAAGACGAGCAGCAAAGAGCCACAGTTCCGGACATAAGTCCTGTGCTGCACCTCTGGGCCACCGCCACCTTTCACAGTTTTTTTTATATTTGAGTACATACAACACCATCCTGTGAAACTGCTGAAGTTGGCAGATGAGACCCCTATCATAGGTCTGATGCGGGACAGTGAGCAGTCTGCACGCAGACAGGAGGTGGAGCCACTGGTTTGCTGGAGTTAATCTGCTCAAGGCTGTGGAGATGAGAATAGACATCTGGAGAAAATCTCCACTCTGCAGGAACAAAATTACTTCGTTTGCTCTTGAAGTCGTGTATTAGAGGGGTTCTCACAGCATGCTCTCAACACAATGTCTGGGAAGAAGTTTTTTTTCTTGCATGTCTGAGAACAATTGTCCAATTGGCACCATGGGCCTGATCTTTAAAGACTAAATGAGGAGCTTCAAATTTACTCAAGGGAAAAGTTTTCGTTTTGCAAGTGATCTACAATGGTTTCTCATGAGAAAGTTCAAATATGAAAACTGCTTTGTGTTGCACTAATGAAATTAGCAGATCTCGTGCACCACTGGCAGCTTTAAAAGTGACCGTAAAAGAATTATCAGGTTATACTCCATGGAGCTGAAGGTAATAATGACAATAATTATGTAAAAAGCCAATAGCAATTATACTGAATATTTATAGTGGACATCACATGGGTAGACTGTCTCAAAGTGGTACAAACAAAAGTTAGAAAATTAAAATGATTAAACAAATTCAAGAGATAAAACATCATGAAATGTGGGGAAAAAATGTAATCTGTTGATTGTTGGATTGATACACCAAGCAGCCTTTGCCAACATAGCAGAAAATGCAAACTCAACTTCTCTAGCAAAAAACAAGTTATGCTGTTAATATTTAAACATCACAAGGGAAAAAAATGTGAAAACACCCTATAACAATCTGTTGGATCGGAAAGGCAGGACCACACCACCTCTGTCTGGCACCTACTACCCTCCCTCCAGATTTTGATGCGTCTCTGCTTTTACACAAGCAGAAAGTTATTTCATGGTTCCTGCAAAACTCAAAGATCACTGTTTCATCATCCAAATCCAAATGTGCCCTGCTTGGGATATATGTACCTATTTGGGGACAAACCTGGCTGGTTTACCTCGGGATTCAGAGATATTGCTTAGTATGTTCCCTAAAGTGGATGTTTTACTCTGTGTGGTCTGCTCAGCCCCATTCATATCAATTAGATGCATTTGCTATGACTTCATATGAACCGACTTCCTGTCAGATCTGACAATAAATTGTGTCTGGTGTGTTCTGGGCTATGATGTGAGGAACAGGCAACTACCTTTCCTAAAACTTTTTTTTTTTGAATAACTTTACTTATTTTATCAATTCATATGTAGAAGGGAAGTTAAGGCTTATAATTGAAATTAAATTACACTGTGACCGACAGTTACAGCTGAATGACTGGGAGTGTTATTTTTCCCCCTCTAGTTAATATCACAGTCTCCTTATTTATAAAGTTTCTCCAAACCTGAATTGATAAAATGCTCTGTTTGATTATATTAATTTTAAACCTTATTCTTTTTCTGAATTTAAATTAAATCTAACACAAAATGGATATGAATTAGAGTTCAAATTTATGTAGCTGCAATAGAAAGAAGAAAGTCATCATTTTAGCATTTCAATCATTTTTGCCTAAATATGTTTTCCAAGAGCAAACACATTTCTCATGCTGACACAAAGACACACAAAGGAAAAAAGGACTAAAAAAGGAGTCATCTAAGGTAAGGGAATGAACCGAGAGAATCCTTACTAAAGGAAACCTCAAAGAAAAAAGACAGAATATGCTTACCTCTGAGAGTTGTCAGTGTCAGCAATGCAGCCAACCCAAGAAACCTCAAACAGAGCTGCTGGGACGCCATCTTGTACCAAGTGAGTCTTCCTAAGGCTCCTTAAAGGCAACAACTGTTCGCAAACTGCTGCACAACCAGAGGGAGGGGTGGGAGTCTGCACAGACTTTCAAAGTGGAAACAGGCCTGTGGCGGTGGAATGTCTTTTACCGCTCTGCCTACACAAACATCCCCACAACGGAGCCTTTTCCCCTCTTCTTATAGGATTTTTGCATCCAAATTACTTTTCCAGGAAAAACACAGGGTGCAAAAGCTGCAATCTTCAAATTATGAGCCATGAAATGCTATTTTATCCACGGGAGATTTTTTGCACCCTTTGAAGTGATCTCCTGCATGTGTAAGAACAGCTACAGGTAGTTTCCTGAGAAATATATAGGCAACTCTTTTACAAACTCTAATTGCAAAAAGGCTAATTGAGTGTTTGCTGAAACTGCCCACCATCTAAACGTCTCATGCCTCTCTCTGTGTTGTAAAATCCACCCCAGTAACTACAGTAGATGTTTTTTGTAAGACTTTAGTAAATGTGCAAGAATGGTGCTCTTTACAAATCCTCCTGTCATGCCTTTGCCACAGAGCCTCAGAGAAGATAAATGGTGTCAGCATCACCTGAATCCCCCAGGAATTCAGATACACAGCCAAGTGCATCCAAACTTAACTGAGAGTGTGTGTGTGTGTGTGTGTGGGGGGGGGGTTACGGGGGTTGACCTGTAAGCTGGCAAGGACGCATTGATGAGGCTGAGGATGAGCCTACATAAGACGGTTTGCACTGTTTGGACCAAACAGGAGAACTGTCCAGTGTTTTCAGGTGACAGTACAGTACGTCAAAATTGCTGTGCTCAACAAACAGGAAGTTAATTGACAGAATAATGAAGGACTTTTATGCAGTTACGGGGAGATGCATATCTCTACTGCATACTTTTCGATAGTTTAATAGCATTACACAAAACTTAAAATATTATAGGCTGAGAAAGGAGACTTAATGACTGAGCAAGTATTGAAGGTATTGTGGAGGATTTTTACAAATTTTTAAAGACCCACCCTCTCCAGAGAAAAAATGCACATGCACAACCCTGTACCCGCTCCTGAGAGGGAACGCCTATTAAACGTTTGCGAGAGCATGCACAAGCCCATTTCTCCTTGTGCACACTCTGTTTAAAAGTTGCTGTTTGCATCGCTTATACAAGCTTACTTATCAAAAGAAGATTTGCATTTTTGTCAGACTCACCACCGGTAAGTGAAAATTGGGACGAGCACGTAGGACGGATTTACGTAATATAGCACCAGAATAATTGACAATTAGGAGGACCACTTATTTTGATGATCCACCCTAAAAAACAACATCCCCCACTATACCTTTAAAACCATTAAAATAACAGCCAGCATTGGCTAAAAAAAAAAAACAAGCCTATTGCATCCAGTGGCAGCTCTCACAGGCTGAAGTTAATTCCTTAATCAAATAAGTGTTTCATTTGAAGGTCATCGTGAGCAGTTTAATAAGTCATTTTAAACTGCAGTGGTAAAGATTTATAAATTTGTCCCTCTGCTGCTCCGGTTGTTTCCTACCGGGAGCTTTGAGGGACATTATCCCTTCAAAATCATCTACAGTCATTCGCTGTTGAAGTTAGATTATTTAGTAACAAAATAACTTTGATTTTCCTATAACTTATTTTTTTTTATCAAATCCTTACTTTCCAAACTGTACCTTAAATGTTTTTTCCATTTATATTATAGTATATGACTTATCTGTACAAAACAGTCCAAGTTGGTGAAAGGAAAAACATTTTTTTTTTTTTAAAAGAATAACTTTAACTTGGTTAATATTGTATGTAACCCCTTAAGCTAATGAGCCCCTAAAAAGTTATTGTACAACCATTAAGCTTTAAAAGTCCCTTAAATAGCTAAATAAAGTCCACCTGTGTGTGCAGTCAGGGTGTAAATATGAATAAATCTTTTCCAAAAGGCCCCAGAAGTTACATTGCCCTTTTAGCCGGAGAGCTTATTGTACATCATGAAGATCAAGCAGCTCTCCAATTCAGTCAGGAACAATGTTGTTGAGAAAGAAAAATCAAGGTGAGAAAAAATATCAAAACGTGGATCTTTCCAGTGGAATTATCATCTGTAAATGGATTGCACACAGTTCTTTTATCAAACTTGCTTTAACTCACAGACTGGACAAGGAGGACATTAACCAGAGATGAAGCACAAAGAGCAAAGGTTGTCATTATCTTGGCACTGATGGCTGGATTTGGCTCTTTTATCCTATCTGCTTAGCTCTGCTCAGGACTCATTGTTACTCATCAGATTCACCTGTTCCTGCTTTCTATTTAAGCCACCTGTTTTCAGCCATCGGTGCCAGATTATTCAAGCTGAGTGTCAGAGTTTCTAAGCAATCTGTGAGTTTCTGATTACCTGAGCCTGACTAGTTTCTGTCCCTGGACTTCTGAGTTTTGGTTGGCCCTGTTCTGCTCTTTTGCCTGATCTGTTTTCAGACTGCTACCTGCATTCTGCCTGCTAACAACCTTGGACCTGTCTTCTGACCCCGGCTTGGATATCCCTTCGGCGCCTCGTCAGACTTCTGATCTTTTGGAAACCTGCTCCTGCTTCGACTGTGCCTTCGGATTATCCCTCTGGATTCTTCCGCTCCTCTGTGTGCTCTAGCTTCTGTTCGTCGCTGCTCTGCTTCTGCAAGCTATTGAGAAACAATCCCTCTGAACTTCACTCCTGCTTCTGGGCTCAGACTGAACTTTACCAGGTTAGTGACTCACGCGCTCGTTTCCCATTTGAGTTCTCTAGTCACTAACTTTTGTTAGGGGGGGTGTTTTTAAGAAGAAGGGAATAAGAAACTGATCCGAGGCAATGCAAAAAAGGAGGATATAGCCTCTGTAATTTGAGGCTAAATTAAATGTATTCCAATTTAAAATGTACTTAAAAACAATCAATCTTAAGTGGAAGTGAAATACTCTTGCAACTAATGGGTGTTTTTTTTTTAACAAGCTGTTGTAAGTGTCGATAGCTGTAGGCAGGAGGGATCTTTTGTAGAGGTCTGTCAAGCAGTGGCTCTGGGGAAGCCTCTGACTGAAGACACTAATTGAAGACTGAAGAGGATGCTTACTTATGTTTATAAGGTTTTTCATTTTCTGATAATTCCTCTTAGTGAAATCATCTTTAAAATGGAGATTTAAAATGAAGCATCTTCCTTCAAGACAATAACCCAATGCACACTGCTAAACAAATATTAAAATGGTTAAAGGAGAAACATTTAAGTTTGCTGGAATGAACAAGTTAAAGTTTAGCCCTACTCCACTTCTGCAGTTAGACATGATGACCTGCAGTTCAGAAGCAGAAAAAAAAAAAAAAACTTAGTAAGAGGTGGATGAATTCCTTGTTGAAAGATGTGACCCATAGATAATTTGTCAATATTATTGCTGCAAAAGGTAGCTCTATGAGATACAGACTTTATAGTTCTGCACTGTAAGGTTTTCTATTATTTGGTCTTATTTGTTTTTTTCAGCATAAACAAGATGAAACATCTTTAATGTTGTAGGCAAGCTCTTTGTGAAATGATGCAAAATATCGTTTTAATTCCAGGTGGTGAGGCAACAAAACACAATTAATGCCGAGATGGGCTGGATGCTTTGCAGATTACTGTAGATGCACAGTAATAAAGTAAATCTATCTTAGAGGTGGAACAGCACTTTCTTTACAGAAATGGCTATCTGAGACTCACTTAAGAAATCAGTGCAATTCCTTGGTGACTGGCCTTTTACCTGTGCTTATATGTGCCATGTGTTTACTTACAGCTGTAAATATCTGCATCCTGTAATTTTAGAATTTAACTTCAGCAGGAAAAAGGAACTGGGGTGGTTGATTTCTGCAGATTGCCTCTGCTGCTTAGTCTCTCCAAGCACACAGTTTTCTCTGGATCCTCTCTGGGTAAACTGGCTGCCTCCCAATCAACTGGCAATGCAGGTTCTCCCTTTTAACCAAATGCTCCTTATGTTTTATACATAAAGTGTATTTCTACCTCAGTTGAATTCTAAAAGGAAATTCTGCTTTGAAGCACATGGATTAAAATTTAACAGTTAGTAAGAAAGGCTGTTGTGAATGTGCTTAATGTTCTACTATAGGGTAGATATTTGATTTTATAAAGAAAGATTTTATAAAGAAAAAAATCTACAACTACTTCCTTTGTACTGCTAAATGGTACTGTATATAAGGCGGTTTTTAATCACACTCTACCTCTGAAACTAGACGTACACTTTTTGCAAAATCAGATTTTCTCATAACGTTTCTACAACAAACTAAACATGTTTCAAATCATAGGAACAGTAGAGGTAGCGCTACATGTTTAATTCCTGATTGAAACTCCTGCTTCCCACAGGCTGCTAATGGCTTTTTTGTCACCAGGTAGAACAGTTAGTAATAATAAAGTTGATTCAGAAACTCTTGACTTGAAATGGAGAATTAAGAATGTATCTGTCAGGCAGCAGAGATGTTTGGTTTGGAAATGCAAACAGACTCTGTGTGTCTCAGGGGTCGAGCTGGAATGCAGTAAAGTAGCAGCTGGCTGATGAATCTGCTGCTCTCAGGCAGAGCTTTGGAAATGAATAGCAGATGTGGGAGGTATGGGGGGAAAAGTAAAAGAAAAATATACAATAAAGAACATAAACTAAAAGAAATGGTAAAGCGAATCTCTTAATTTTCGAGCTGCTGGAAATTATCACCTTTATTTAAAAAGATGTTATTTTACAGCCTTTAGCCCACGCTGATCTTTAAACAGAAAAAGGTCGAGCTGAGCTGTGAGTCACAGCTTCATGTCTTGCAGTTCGGTTAACCCCAGCAAGCCAACATTGTCAGTCAATAGATATAATTCCTCACAAATTAGAGGGATTTTTTTTTTTTTTTTTAGCTTTTATTTTGAAAGAACCCAGGTTCTTGGTTTCATATTTTAAACAACGGCATCAAAACAATAAACACAATACTGAAAAGAAATGTCTAAATTCCCATGATCCACTTACCAAGTATCTGAGATGGTGCTTTAACAAGATTTTGCCAGAAGTGTAAAAGCATTATGTGGATC